CTAAAACCAGAACAATCTTTCAATTAGAAAATGGGTCTCTTCTGTGGCTTTCCCATGTCGAAAACAAGTAATTTCACCACCCACCATGAACTGCTCCAGTTGAGGTCTGTTTCTCACTGTAAACATTCATAAACCGCTCTTGCTGGTTTGGCTAACGAGTCAACTAGATGGAATTGCTTCAGCTCTCAGGACTATGTGGTCAGAATCAAGCACCCAATTGGAGCCGCTTTCGGACATCATGAACCACAGTTCAGGGACAGCTAGGACATCAGCCAAGTTCTCCCCAAATCCAGTGACTCTCTGTGAGGCACACGCCTGCCCTCATCGCCTGAAACCTGAGGTCCTGGAAGAATCTAACAAGAACAAATCAGATAGCAACTGTGCTCAAGTCAAGCATTTAATAACAGTAACAGGGTTTCCTTATTTCCATTAGTAAATTTCGTTTACCCAAATAATATTCTTTCTTCCTCATTATAACTCACCGATCATCACCTAGAAAGAACACACCAAGCAACTTCAACGTAGTGCTTTCCACTTGGGGACTTCTTTTGAGGTTCCTCAGCTCCTAACATACTACTACACTCCTACGTACACGTGCTACATCCAAGCAGAGTTCATATTGCACTGCCACGTACACAGAGTTCCTGCTACCCTTGTCAGAATTACCATCATGGTAAAATTACCCATACAACCATGGGAATCCAATGCTGGTGAGTACTACAGGTCTACTGCTCTTCCAACTCCACTCAGCCCTCACAGGGTGAGCCCTCTCCACCCTACAACTCCCTCAGCCTAAGTATCGCTCATCTGTGTACACTGGTGGCCCAGCACTCTGCCACGGTTTTGTGTCCTGGTGTACAATCCTGACCTATAATGGGTCAGCTGGGGTAACAGAGTGTCAAGATCACTACTAAAATCAGAAGAAATACTGTAAGATTAACAAATGGTTGAAGGGCATCACAGGACATTAATCATGGCTGAAAAATCACAGCTGAGGTCACGACTTCAGATTAGAAGCTGAAGGACAAACATCAGTTTCTCTCACCTCCTCTTCACCTTGCATTGGCGGCACTCAGGGATTCACCTCTCCTACTTACCTGGAGCTCTGTGGCTACATGGTAAGGAACTGTGCTGCTGATGGATATACAGGTGCATGGCTCAAACCCACAAGTTGCTCCACAGCAGAAAGATGGGCAATCTCCTCCTGTGGGATTTACTGTCTCTGAAAAACCACTGGAGGGTCAGCTGTAGGTCAGTTTCAACTCAACAGTGCACAACTCCAATATTAAAGGGGCTCTGGTGGGAAGCAGCTCCACTGCCAACCTAAAGGCACATGGTTCAGCCCTCATACAATAGATCTCTGAAGAGTCACTGGAGGGTCAGCAGTTCCAACTCAATGGTACAGAACACTACTCCAATACCAGGAGGGCCAGGCCAAGACACTTCTTCCTACTTCTATTCACTCTACTGGAAATGCAAAAGGTGTCTCGTGACTTTAAGGACACTGGAGGATGGCCCAACTCTTTCCCTCCACTCCAGTACCTCACACCTCATTTGACAGGACATTCTAATTTCTCCACTTTCCCAGAAAGAAACCAATTCTGACCAATCTGATTACTAGCCACGACCCAGAGGAAGCCCCTGGATGAGATGGACTGACACCGTCACTCTGGCAGTGGGGTCAGGTGTGTTGGCGATGGTGAGGGTGGCTCAGGATTGGCCAGGATCCAGCCAATTGTTTATTAGCATCGTTAGGATTCGTTGACTTGAGGGCATGTAACCCCCACCTTGATCTAAGTCACATCATCTTAGTTGAATCACTGTAAACTTCGGTAAAGCCTCTCAGGCAGCTTAGCTGCTGGGGTGAAGCTTCAAAGCCAGGCCGAGGCACTCCTGCCCAATGACCATAACTCTGCCTCTTCACCCCAGGCTAAGCACCCCAGGCCCCCTGCAAACCAACGGCTCTCCTGTCCTCTCCAGGGGCAGCTTCCCTCCTCACCATTCTAGCGCACTGCCTGTCTTGCTCTTTCCTGATCAAAAATGGCACAGCTGCTGTGAGACCTTTGCTCAAGTTGTTTTTTGTGTCTAGAATTTCCTCCAGATTCTTCCTAAGATAATTCCTTAGCCTACCCCAAGGTCTGTGTTCCAACATCTTACTCTCAATGAGGCTTGCTGTATATCTGTTACTCTGCAACTTGCACACCCTTACAACACATAACTTCCCTTTTCACCTTTCCCCCCAGCAGTTACCACCTTACAGCATACCAAGTGGAGCCTGTGAGGGCCCTAAAGCCACAGGACTTTCCACCTTTGATAGGGTGCCATCTTAGGACATTTCTATTGCTACAAATAGTTTTCCATCTCTGACAGATTTCTTCCTTGCAGAGGTTCCCTGGTTCTGCAGGTTTTATCGGATTTACTCATAAATATACTCATCACACATTAGATAGCCCCCTGGCAGAATTCCAGCTTACAGAGATCTTTGCTGTTGTTATTAACCAATTAAAACAATCCCTGGCATGTCTGCTACTACAGCTATTTCAGTGTGGTAAGTCATCAGTATTTGTTACATGACTGTGAAACGTCACTTTCATTCAATGTTAAGTACAGAATCCTGGGAAAGAGCCTCCCTAAGAACCATGCTCTGCTCGCTTACAGGGCGCTGACTCCCATACACCTCAATTACCAAGATTCCAATTCCAACCCTCCCATCTCTCAGAATCAAAGGCTTCAAAAGTTCCTAACTTAAAGCTCTGCCATCTGCTCATCTACAATGAAAGAATTTACACATTTCTAAATTATGAGCAAATACTGCCATCTGTTAAGTATTCCTGTCGCCCCACCCCAAAAATCTCCATTTAACTAGAATCTAATCACACAGAAACAGTCAAATTGTGTAGGACATCTACAACTTATACAAATTTACATATTAAAAGAAACATACAGAAAAATGAAGGGAAATGTTCTAGGTAACACAGTTTCAAGCACCTTGACAACTAAAATACAATGTAGAATCTCTGATTTGATGGATGAGGCTTTGACCTTTTTTAAAAAGATAAAACCAAATCACAGGCGGTGGAAAAAAATTCAAAAAACTATCCCACCTGCATATACAAATCTAGCAACAAAATAACCTCGACCTAGAAGTTTTATTAAAAAGCCTCTGGAAGGCACTATACACTTTCCAAACTCAAATAAATACTTAGTCCCAGTTACTCTGTATTTCTCAACAATTGCTTCATTAAGCAGTCAGAAGGGAAATCTGACTCAGAAACCAGGCATGCGCCAAGCACAGGTGAATTCTATGAACATATGCCTCTCTATACTGTCACTGCACTGTGGCCTCAGGGGGCCATACATGCAAAAGGAACAAAAGACCTCCTCCCAACACTAGGTGAAGACAAAGGCTTGGGTCTTTCCTGGTTACAAATTCTCAATTATTCAAAAACTATCAACAAGCCTTTTTTCAAAACAAGTTATCTAGCTAAATCACTTTGTAAAAAATCCTCATCGCATGTGGCTGGATTCCTCTACATATACCACAGGACAAGCACTGGATCAAGATGAAGATTTATTCACTTTACAAAGATATTAAATTGCCATAAGCAGCTCCATTTATAGACAAATATAACTGTACATTATCCCAACAGCTGTCTCAAACTTGCTTTCCCAAGATGCTTCTATAGCTCCAGCTCTCAGCTGAGCACAGAAATGTCTGTTCTGCCACTGATGTTAAAATCTCCCCTAAAAGGAGATGGGTTTTGCTTCATACTTTCACAGGGAAAGAACCCACCTGCCCTGTCCTTCCTAGAGTTGAACTTCCATCCACATACCCTCCAGTGAGCATTAACCAAATACTGGGTCATTTAAAAAAAAGAAAATTACTGAAAATTTGAAAAGGCGTTGATAGCACATCTAAATGCCTGTTTTATGCACATAAAAAATATTAAGCTAGATTTATTATTTTAAATATAAGCAGACATCCTAACACTGCCAAAAGTGAGTGATGAAAAGGAAGGAAAATATTTAAATTACTTATAAAAATACTTTCTTTGAAAAAACAAAATCCCAAGATTATCTTTAATATCTAAAACTAAAGAGAAAAAAAATAAAGAATTCTTCAATCCATTAGTATTTTAAATAAAAATGAAAACCTCTTCAAAAGCAGCTATAACAGAGTATGTTTTTTTTTAAAAAGTTGCAATGTTCACTTGTATATACACTGATGATTCCTTACCGGCAAGTATCAGTCAAGAAAAGCTCTTTGATATGGCTAAGTCTGTAGTTTTTAAATTACCATAATAATCTTCTTGTCTTAAAAAAATAATTAATATGACAGTTTAAAAAACCAAGTGAGTTTTGGTTGGGGCAGATTTCTCCAAATAATCCCATCTGACTCAAGTCAGATTACCACAGTTAAACAGACTAGCTAAGGATAAACTTCTAACTTTTTCTAAAAAATCCTTTTTTACCAGTTTTTTGTTGTTCCTTTTTTTTTTTTAAGTTATCCTTTTATGAAAATGTACCAAATTTTTTTTTTTTAAAAGGTTGTATTAGTGCTGTATCATTGCGCCCCGGAATTAGATGAAAAGATACCAACCTGAGGGAAGGGCTGCCCACCACAGTCCAGTCCTTGAACCCCTACTATTCATTAGGGTAAATTTCCTTAATCTTTACACATATCAATTCTTGTTACAACCACTAAACAGATGCCAGGGCATTATTTATAAAAATATGCCATATATAGGACACTCATGTCAGTACATTGCAGAAAATTTATCTATTTACTGTGTAAAGTTTATTAACATTTGAATGAAACACTCTTATTTACACAGTTAAGTCTGGGGTGGTCAGGACAGCAGGTGGCATGAAACCAGCCTTGTGGATTTGGAAATGTGCAGCGGTCCTTGGCATCCTGTCACAGAGACCAATCCCCAGGAGAGCACGGCAGCAGTGGGCAAGGGGAGCCAGAGGGCAGACAGTTCCCCTGGTTTCTATCTTCATTCTTCTTCACTTTCGTTTCCCGGGTCCAAATCAGAATCTCCGTTTAATTCCTTGTCACTGGTCCCATCTCTGTCCTCTCCATTTTCCTCCTCCTCTTTTTCTTCAGCATCTTCATCTTCGTCTTCATTATCTTCTTCATCTGCATCTTCATCTTTCTCACTTCCTTGCTCTTCCTCATCTTCATCCCAATTATCCTGTTAGAAACATTAAGCAGAGAAAAAGTCACAAAGGCATCTTTCTCACAGAGTATAGGGAAATAAAGAAATATTTTGAGAGATCAGTTACTCACATCAGAATCCTTATCTGCTATTTCATCATCAGACTCCTCTTCAGAAGACTCTGCAGGAATGGAGGATAAACATTTTAAACCGCATCCTTAATTTTGTGAACAAAGCAGGAGACACAACTCCAAAACGTAATCATTCTTAAATTTTCAAAGCATCATTTTCAGCCTGAGGAACCACAGGTAATGATCTTATCTACATAAAAATAGTATTAATCCTTTAACATCTCATAGAAAGGGAGAACATATCAAAATTCTGAAAAATCTCATCAAAAATTAAATAATCTGAAAAACAATATAATTAAGTCATCGACATAAAAATGGAGGCTTGGCGAAAAAGAATTACCATTAATTTTTTAAGTTTAATGGAACCTCTATAAACTCCATAAAGAAATGACGTTCATTATAGAGCGGAGTTCAGGTCTTTATTCATAGGGTTGCTATGTATTCAACTTGAGGACACTTAACCACTGCTAAGTGATATTAGTGTTGCTATATGGTAGAGGAACATTCTTTTTCTTTGTACATCACTCCCTGTCAATTTGCTGTACTGTGGTAATGTGGGTTTGCTGTGACACTGAACTGTGTGCCATTGGGGTATCAAATACCATAATGGTTAACCGGTGTGGACAGTACTTTGTGGAGCTCCCAGTTGTACGACAGGTTTGGAAGCAGGAGTGGCATCTACTTCCTAAACTACATGACTATGAAAACTCTATGAACTTGGAGTTATACAAAGGCATTAGGTCTGTCGTTCACAGAGTCGCTATGAGTCGTGCTCAACTCAATGGCAATCAACAACAAATAAAAGAACTGACTGTGGAATGACCATTAATTGATAATGAAACTGTTCAGTAAGTGGCTTTGGGAAATAAAGTCTTTAGACTGTGCATCACTATGTTCCATGCACTCTGATCAAAATGTTTTACACCCAAAAGCATTTTACTTATCTTCATAGCATGAATAATAGATGAACAAGCACAGCGTTGGTATAATATGAAAACTTATCAGTATTGAAATTTTTTACTTAAAAAAGGCTTGACTTAAAATTGACTCAATGTAAAATGCTTGACAGTTTAACCGTCTCCTCCTGTAAAGATGAGACATTGAGTTCAACATGCTGGAAAAACCAGGATATGTCGAACTCAACTTGATGGGAGTGGATTTTCTGGGTATAAGGAACAAACTAAATAACAATAAGATAAAGCAATGGTAAAAAATTATAAGGTAGGGTAGGACAGAAAGAAGTTGCCCGGTCTCTTGACCAAGTCCTTGTTACTCCTCAAAACAGGAGGGAAGGTTTAGAGAGTTACAATCAAATCTGTATCACTGATCAAGACTGGGTCCTAATATAAACCTTTTAAAGAGCAGCTTAAGGAGGACCAGGAAAGCTGTGTGCCTTAGTCTACAGCAAGTTACACTTTAACCCAACAGCTGGGGGGTGGGAAGTCTCATGCAGACTGCCCACGTGAACAGCAGCCTTCCAATGCTCTAGAACAATCTGGTGTAGCACTAAAAATGGTAACCAGTACAATGTGGAAAAAACCTTAAGAATACACTACTTTTGTTCTTTACTTTAATGAGACTACTCTTTAAAGCTTCATTTCTCTTTGTGATATGGGCTTATTAAGAAACCACTCTTAAATTCTATATATGAAGACCAAATATTACTGAAGACTTTGTATTTATTAATAGTGTTCCCTGATAATCTGTCAATATGGTAACTATACATAAGTGGATTACTAAATGATCTTTTCTTTAAAACTCATTTTTTATTTTATAAAATAACATGTACAAGAATGGCTGAATGAAAAATCAGTGTTTAATAACTTTCACCCAAATCATTCCATAAAAATAAAAAATTCCACTTACATTTATTTCAAAATTCAATAAAAAGACAAGAAAGAAAGAAAAGACCAAAACTGCTATCAGGACACATTCCAAGACTTGCTCTCAAATAAAAAAGCCAAACTGAAAAGAAGAAATGGTAACACCATGGTCCCTCAGAGCAAAAAATCTGATTACAGGGGTTTTATAAGTCTAAAATGTTCTTTCCTTGACTAATTTTATCTGGCTTTGTGAACAAGGCTATTTAGGTTCTAAAACATCTAAACTCTTTACATAAAACAAACATGGTTTCTTCAAAGTAGAAACCTCTGGGCCTGACAGTGGTTTCTGTTTAAGATTTTTTTTTCTTTTATTGTATTATTTTTACGTGTACCGTCAAATCAGATCTGACTGGTACAGGAGGAGATTGCCCCCTCCTTCTCCAGCAGAACATCTGGTGGATTTGAACCGGGTACCTCTGGGATTGCAGTGCAGTGTCTTGCCACTAGGCCACCAGAGCTCCCTAAGATCTTTTTTTAAAAACAAAATCCAATTTAAAAGTTATTAGTTTATTC